AGAGGAGAGAGAGAGAGAGAATTTTTAATATTTATTTTTTAGTTCTCGGCGGACACAACATCTTTGTTGGTATGTGGTGCTGAGGATCGAACCTGGGCCACACGCATGCACGGACGAGCGCGCTGCTGCTTGAGCCACATCCCCAGCCCAATAAATAAAATTTCATTGCAGGCTAGGCATATACCTCAGTGGTAGAGTACTTGCCTAGCTGTATGAAACCCTGGGTTCAATCCCTGGCACCACTAATAAGTAAATATTTTTTAAAAAACAGATCTGATCATGACATTCTTGTACTACATTCCTTCTAGATGTCCTACAATTCATAATACATCTAAACCCTTTAGTATGGCAATGGGTTCTTCATGACCTGCCTGCCTCAGCCTTTATCTCCTGCCATCCCATTCATACTCTATGCTTCTATGAAACTGCACAAACTACTATTCCTCAAAGGTACTGTGTAGTTGTATCCACATTGATCAATACTCAGCCTAAGTACTCAGTGTAAGGGTCTTTCTGGGTAGATTCTCATCCCACTGGAGTTACTCAGACCCTGGTTGGGTTGGGTGTCCCTCTGGTATAAGTTGTCAACCTAAAACTCAAGTTGAAGCACACCAAAAGTGGGAACAAAGAATTTTATTCCAGCCAAAGTGAGGCCACTTGGGGAGGCATGTATCCTAGTTGCCCAGAATAAGTGCTCTGAGGTTTTATGAAATATTGTTTATAACTTGTAGTTATAAACAACATCCTCATCTCTTTTTTCAAGTTGGTTGGAAATTACATCACTTGCTAGTCAGGAATTATGATTGGTGCTGATAAAAGTTAAGCTGTTTTATAAGGAATGAACAGGATACAATCTCAGTTTCTGGGTAGTCTGCAGGCAGGGGTCCATTATACAGATGGTCACTAGAGTTAATAAACAATGTTTTTCAGAAATATGGGGTTTGGCCCAGTACAAAAGTCAGTTTGCATCTGGGAGTGGGTGTGTCTGCTTCAGTTCAAAGCTTCAGCCATAGATCTAAGACCAGATTTAACAATGCCTCCTGACTCCATTTTCCTTTTTTCTTGCTTTTTTTTTTTTTTTTTTAGTTGGGTGGTTATGAAGGATTGAACCCAGGAGCACTGACCATGGAGCCACACCCCCAGCCCTTTTTATTTTTTGAGACAGGGTCTTGCTAAATTGCTTAGGGCCTTGCTAAATTGCTGAGACTGGCTTTGAATTTGTGATCCTCCTGCCTCAACCTCCCAAGCTACTGGGATTACAGGGGTGTGCCACTGTACCTGGCCTTATTTTTATTTCTTGACAAAGCCCATATCACTCTCTGCCTATGTCAGTATAATTCAACACTTACCATATTTCAGTGCAATATTTTTTTTTTTTTTTTTTTTTTTTAGAGAGAGTGAGAGAGGAGGGAGAGAGAGAGAGAGAGAGAATTTTTAATATTTATTTTTTAGTTCTCGGCAGACACAACATCTTTGTTGGTATGTGTTGCTGAGGTTCGAACCCGGGCCGCACGCATGCCAGGCGAGCGCACTACCGCTTGAGCCACATCCCCAGCCCCAATATTTTTTTTCTTCTTTTCTTATCTTCTTAAGGATCAACAAACAAAAATCTAAATCCCTTTCTTAGCCAACATATATCCTTTTTGACCAGCTAGGTGTCTTTCTCTTAAGAGTTTGAGCAAAGAAGTAGGAGCTCCTATTGTTCAATCCCCAGGACTCAACCCTGTACCAGGCACAAAAACTGGAGCTAAAGAAATGTGGGTGGAAATAAGGATGCAGTTCCCTCCTAGTACAAGTAAATAAATTGAGGCTGTAGAGTGAAAGCCGGGCAGACACATCAGGTGTTGTATTGAAAGCAAGTTTTCCTCTTCCTGGCTCGGGGGTCTCCTTTTTTCTGTTGGTGTGGGTAGAAGAACTTTCTGAGGAAGTGGGCCTCCCAGACTCAGAAGCACAATCCTGATTAGCACAAGTCTGTGATTGATTTAGGAGTTGCCTGGCCAATGAGCTATCAGGGAAAGGCTTCTGTGGGTGGGGTTCTTGGAAATGTCTGTAGATTAAGAAGCTTGCAGTTGGGATTTGGTTTTGTTTGTTGTTTTTCTGCAGTGCTGGGGATGAACCCAGGGTCTCCTAAATGCGAGGCTAATGCTCTATCACTGAGCTAGACCCTGGTTTTTAATTATTTGGAAACCAAATTTGTAACTTACTGTTATTTTCTGAAGAACACAGATAAAACCCATCCACTAGGTCATCATTACACATGTTCACTCTAGAAATTCTAGTTACTTGCATAAATTATAATAAAATCAAATATGTCCAGCCTTAACCAGGTGAAAAAAAAAAAGAAAAACAAGATTCAATCCCCAGCACCACAAAAAAGTAAAAACAAAAATAAAACAAAGAAATAGGAACAAACTATTAGTATAGGTAGTTGTCTAGAGATCAGCAGGAATGAGAAAAGGCAGGAGAGGGAAGCAAATCTAAAAGGGTTCTTGACAGGGAATTGATCCAGAGGTACCAGTGTTCTTTCTGCATTCCAGAAAGAGGCTCCACAGCAAACAACTCCTGTAGACTTAGAGGCACACACCATGTTCCCAGAGTCGCTCATGCACCCAGAAGCTGTTCCAAGGGTCAGTTGACCATAATGTGACTTCTGCCAATGGTGCTAAGTCAGAAAGGTGAAAGTGATACAAGTACACCGGTGCATGCCCTCGATTTTCACATATTACTAGAGTAAAACTTCCCCCAAACAAGCATCAGTTACACAAACACTGGGTCCAAAGAAAGTGGCCAAGGTTTCAAGTTACTGAAAGCTTCTATCCACTATCCTAACAAAAACAAAAGGTCTAATCATTTTAGGGCAGTTAGTTTTTTTGTAGATCTGCCCATTCTTATCTCCAGTGTTTAATCTCATTTTCTTTTGCTTTTCCCTGCCTTATGACAAACCTACCATAAATGTTGTCTCTGTCTCATTGTATACCTCAGT